GACATATCCCCAGCCCCCTTCACCTAGCACCAGTGACAGCCTCACTGTGAGCGGCGGTTGGGGCAGACAACCTCTCGGGGGTCCTGCCACCAGTGCTGCTTGGGTCTGTTCCACTAAAAGCACATGGCAACAATTTACCAGGAGAGGATCATGGAAGAATTCTGTGAATTTCACTTTATAAAAGCTGCTTTCCCACAGATATAATGCTTATCTGTGAACCTACCAGTTCAATGTGTGGTTTTACTCCCTAATGACTTGCCAGGTACAGACATCCAGTGACAGCCACCTTCTAGAGCAGCTCCAAGTCTGCCTTCTGTCCACTTAGCTACCTTCCAACCTTGTGGTGTCAAACAGTTTATATAACAACGCTGTCTAATCTTCTTTCCCATCTCACCTTTGAGTAAGCGTACAGCACCATGGATTTATTCTACAGTTTTTTCCTAACACCCCAACTGCAGGACTAATCTCAGATGGTTCCTCTGTAAAGTATCACCCCAAGCTCCTCCTTCCCTCTGTTGGCCAATTTCTGCCAGCAGCCACAAGCAGAAAGTGGAGAGGGCCCCAGGTGCACCAGGGTGGTCCCTCTGAAGGCTTCTCCAGATTCATACTTCCAGGGTCTAGCAATACTGTTTACCTGCAAGGGCCCTCAGTCTCAATGAGATGGTACTTGGCCTTTTTTCACTGCTTGTCATACTCCTTACCAGGCTGGTGCTGAGGTTCTGTGTCAAACAGCATTTGGAGAAAGACGTGCACATAGCCCTAGAAATACTGGCCACACCTGGGCCAAAGGATATACGCGGGGACTCTACCAAACACTGGATGCACTGCGTGCCTCATAGATGTGAACAGGATTGTGGCCCAAGATACTGGCATCATCTCAACAGGAATGCAAAGGGTGTTGAGGGTGACCACCCATTTCACCCACTGATGGGCCCAAGCAAACACCAGTACGTCTTCAGTGGAAGACAAATGTTAAGTGCCCATATTGAAGTTGCCTGCTTACCAGTTGTCTTTCTCAAGTGTGTGCAAGCTGTGAGCAGCTCTGAAGGGATCCACATGCACCACCAAGCTTCCTTAGAAGCCCCTATTGGCTTTGCATATTTTGGTTTACACAAGCCACCTATTTTTATTCCCCATCTGGCTACTGTCAGATGTGGCTTCATGGGAAGCAGGACTTGTCCAAGGTGGGTGCTACAGTTCCCTTGGAAAGCACAAGTCATTAAGCTAGAAATTAATCCAGCTCCTCAAAACATTTGTTTCCAAAACAAAT